TGGTGATGATGTTGCCTTGGACAAAACTGAGTATCACTGCAAATGTTACTCAGGAACCCCTCATAATCATTTGATTGTCCTTGAATATCTTCAAACTTGACTTAAAGCAGGATCCTTGAACATTTAAAAAAACTGAGGATCAAGAATCTAGTTTCAAAGAGACAAAGTTACATCTTAATGGCACTGTACTTTGTCTGTAAATACATTAATTTGTGATTGTATTCTGCCAAAAGCAGGTGCCCAGAGACCCAGTCATGGATGAGAGAACAGTGACCATTCAAAGAGTGCTTGACCAAGAGAAGCAGTTTTACAGGGTAACTGTGAAATTTCTTGAATCATACTCATAAGCTCATGCTGTCTTTAATTTCTTACACTTGTAAAGTTGCTCATTACCTGACTTTTTATCAATGTTTCCTTTGAAGAAAACATTGGATGAGTATACAAGGAGACCAACAGAAAACCTTCAAAGAGAGGTATGTAATATTTGGAAGAGCTTCCAAATTTCCACAGCTTTTAGTCAGGATTCAAAAAGTGTCCATTCACAAGTGATATGTGGCTGAAGGTCAAAGGTCCCATTCTGCTAAGGGGGCCTAGGGGTATGCTCCCTCAGAAAATTTTGAAAATTGGAAGTGCCTTGGGTGCATTGTCTGGGATTTTCAGCCAATAATTCTATTGATTGACAATTCATAAAATGTGTCAACTTTTTTGTCAACAACCTAAAATTGATTTAAATTTGACCTGCTTCTGCCCATACTTAATGCCTCAGTCGCATTAAGCACTTCCATGCCTGTCATTTATTCCAAAGTTTGGTTGATGTTGCTCTTGTTGGCCATTTTGGGGAAAGGTAGAGACTTAGAATGAAAAAACATTTTCTTTCCACAAAATTGGTTCCATAATGTTTGTCATGCTCTAAATACATATTAATGGAAAATGGTGTCCAATTTTTGACAGTGAAAGAACTATAGATAGCTGAAGTAGAAGTTAGATGATGGTGAGACAGTGTCCGAAGTTTTCCCACAATCAAACAATTATGAAATGAATCAAAATCAACAAGATCTGCTTTTATTTATTTATTTTCTCCTAAAAAGTGACTGTCTACCTGGCTAAAAGCCTGCTTGGAAGTCAAGGGGTGGGTCTCTCACTTCTACATGTACCTAGAGGCAATGATCTTGTAATGATTGATTTTCCTAATGTCTTACTAAATTTTTTTGTTATTTCCTTTTTAGCTTGCAGAATCAACAACGCGAATCAAAGCTTTTGAGGCAGAGCTCCATGCGCAGGTTTTTGATGGTTTATTTATTTTTACTTTAAAAGATTGAAATGATGGCATAACTGTGGAAAGTATTTAGAAAAATGGGGAAAAGAATAAACACTAGGAAGCAGTGGTGGCCTAGGGAAAATAAAATTATATTCAAGTGGCTTTCATCATTCTGCTCTCTTTCAAAGTTCTCCACATGGATTGGTTGGACTGCTAATCCCCTCAGTAACCACAAAGAGTATGTTAAGTAGTAGTATTAGTAGTCATTATGTCCTCACAAGATAAAAATTTCCTATCTTATGTTCATACTAAAAATGTGGAAAAGTAGCAAGAAGGTAAAAAACGGTAAAAACTTGTAAAAACAGTTCTAATCTTGCAACAGTAAAGAACAAGCCTTATTGCATAAACTGTACCTGCTATTATTTGGTTTTGTTCCTCACATCCCATTGCTTACTTCCTATGTTTGACCA